TTAGAGATACACACCACCCTTACTCTTGCAGAAACCATCTTAGTAAGTAGATATATTTAAGAGGCATTATCTAATAATATTTTTCTTAGTGGGTTTGTTTTAATGTCTGAAATTGCACCATTAGCAGCTTCCTTAATTTTAAAATTGAACATTTCCTTCCCCTGGGTCTTCTTTAAAGTTGCAGATATTCCTAGGAAGGATAATATATTGATTTTTAACACACTCATAGAAGTAGTTTGACAGGAGAAGATGATAATTATTTAAGCAATGTTTTTCTGTAGATTTGTTAAAGGTAATAGAGAACTAGAAATCATTTGATAGTAACAGTTACTTGTATAGACATTGGGAGCTCTGGTGGAATAGTACCTAAGGCATTTAACTGCCAACCAGAAGGCTGGCGGTTCAAACCCACCACCCACTCCTCAGAAGGAAGGTTAGGCAATCTACTTCCGTAGTGATACTGCCTCGGAAACCCAAGGAGAGGTCACTATGAATTGGATCCGACTCCACAGCAGTGAGTTTGGTTGGGTTTTGGTATAGACATTACACATACACACATGCGATACGTTGACACATACACTCATTTATTTAATCCTTATAGTAACCCCATTCTCCTGAAAAGGAAATTGAGGCAGAGCTTGGTTAAATAACACACTCAAAATCACACAATTATTTAGTACTGCAACCCAGAATGGAATTCACTCTCTGTTGTTGTTGTTTGCTATCGAGTCAGACCTGACTCATAGCGACTTCTCCTTGGGTTTCTGAGGCAGTATCACTACGGAAGTAGATTGCCGCATCTTCCTTCCAAGGAGCAGCTGGTGGGTTTGAACTGCCAGCCTTCTGGTTAGCAGTAAAGTGCCTTAGGCACACTATGTTACTAATATTCCATAATGGTAATAAAATACCTATTCTAAGAATTCTACCTAAGGCCAAGGAGTCTTTGGGTGATGTAAACTGTTAACACACTCGGCTGCTAATCAAAGGGTTGGAGGTTCTGTCTCACCCAGAAGCACCTTGGAAGAAAGAACTGGAAATCTTCTGAGAAATCAACCATTGAAAACCATGTGGAGGACAGTTCTATCCTGATACATGCGTTGCCATGAGTCAGAGTAGATTTGACAGCAATTGTTTGTTTTTTTTTCAGCCTAAGTCTAATTTCATAGACTTTCTTACTAATTTTGTCAAATTGTGTAACTCACTCCTCTCTCTCTTCATTTCTGTCTTTCTCATACTATACCATTTTTTTTTATCCAAGAAGGCCATAAAGCAAGATTAAATCATTCTGATTTTCACAAATCTAAAATGTACCAAAGTGTTGGTATGACTGTTCTCTCTTTGTAGATGGGAAATGAGACACAGAGGGAAGTTGCGTCAAAGCAAAGTATCGGCCTGAACAGGAGAGAGCACACAAGTTCTCTGTAAATGGACCAGATTTAAGGTCCTGGAGTTTGGGTCCAATAGAAGCAAGCGAGGAATAGAGGATTATACTTCTGTCCCTGTCAGTCGTTAGGGCTGAGGCCCTATGACATGCTGAAGTGTAAGGAGGAAATGACTCAGCCGGACCTGAGAACAGACATAGAAGATGAGGGACAGGCTGTTCCTGACAGTCACTTTACCTTCTGTAAGACCTGAGTTAAATAAGGAGGTGCTGATAAGTGTTAAAAGGAGTATGATTGGTTGTCATGGAAAACTCTACTGGATTTGTGAAAGTGAAGAAAAATAATTTAACCCAGAATGTGAATATCTGTATGTTATATGGAATAATGCACAGATGAACTTGTTTTGAGAGTTTTTGTTTACTAGGGGTAGAAGAATTCTATTATAGAACAGACTGTGGGTAGATAAATTCAACTAACCAGTGAGTATAGAGACCTAGTCAGCTGAGGCATGTTTCTAGAAACAGGGTAGAATATATAAGGATTGGTAAGGAAGTGAAGAAGATATCTACAAAAGTAAACACAAGGTGACACGAAGCCAGATAACTTTGAAAACTTTTCTTCTGAAGGCAAGAGAGAACAGACAATGCCCAGAGAAGATAAGCAAGCAGGCTAGGGCTTGGCAGTATTGGGCAGTCCTGAACAGGCTTGACTTCAGGGTCAGCAAGGAAGCCTGGTGGTGCAGTGGCTAAGCCCTTGGCTGCTAACTGGAAGGCTGGCAGTTGGAACCCACCAGTTGCTCCACAGGAGCCAGATATGGTAGTCTGCTTCCATAAAGATTCACTGCCTTGGAAACCCTGTGGGGCAGTTCTACTCTGTTCTACAGGGTCGCTATGAGTCAGAATTCACTCAGTGGCAATGGGTTTGGTTTTTGGTCATAGGGCCAGCCTGAACAAATCAGACTTCAGACTAATCCCTTGGCCCAGAATCTTGTTTCATCTCATATGCACATGCCTGTGTCTACCATGATACAGTTACACAATTTTTTTTCCCCCCAGTTCTATTACTTTCCAATCCTATTCACTTTTCAGAGTCTTTTCATATGCTGCTTTATCTGGGTGGAAAAAACAACACTGCCCCCCCACCACACACACACACATGCACACACCCATATCAACATGATTCATTCCCTCTCAATATTTAGGTCTCAAATGTCACTTCTTCCAGTAGGCCTACTTCGTCCTATCTGACACAGGCCTTAGTCAGTCACTCTGTAGCATTACATTTCATTGTCTTTATGGCACTCTTTACTCTCTGAAATCATCTTGTTTTATTTATTTATTTATTTTTAACTTACTTAGAGTCTAAGTACTCCTACTAAAATGTAAGACAACGGGAGTTTTGTCTGTCTAATTGACATCTCCATGACTAGAATAGGGGAGCATGTGGTTGGTGCAGAGTGAATGTGCTCGGCTGCTTATAGAAGTTTGAGGCTCAAGTCCACTCAGGTGCCTTGGAAGAAAGGCCTGGGGATCTACTTCTAAAAAATTAGAGATTGAAAATCCTATGGAGCACAATTGTCCTCTGAAACACATGGGGTTGCCATGGAATTGTTGAGTCAATTCCCTGGTAGCTGATTTTATCGACCGTAGGACCTGACTCATAGGCAGGGTTCAAGAAGTGCTTGTCCATTGAATGAATGAGCAAATGAATACATGAAATCAGACACATTTGGAAAATGGGAGCCAGGACTTATATACCAGCCAAAATCTATAATTAGACTTTGGTAACTAACCTGAGAATATGAGTCTGTGCTCTGTATATTTGTGCATCTCTCAGCTTTTGTATTTTGTTTTAAGTGCCCTTGAGCCGATTGGGACTCACAGCAACTCTCATGGGGTTTCCAAGGCTGTAAATCCTTATGGAAGCAGACTGCTCTTATTCCTCTGTGCAGTAGCTGGTGGGTTCAAACCACTGACCTGTTGGTTAGTAGCCCAATGCCTTAACCACAGCACCATCAGAGTTCCTTGACATTGATTACCAAAAAAAAAAAAATTTGGTCCATCTACTTCCATAGTGATACCACCTCAGAAACCCAAGGAGGAGTCGCTATAGTCAGATCCGACTCAATGGCAGTGAGGTTTTTCTTGTTGTTGTTTAGAGTAGTGCAGTGGGAATGCTCCTTAGAAGTGAGAATGGTCAGGAGGGACCAATTCCTGGAGAAGAATGATCATGCTTGTTTGGTAAAGTAGAGGGTGAGCAAGAAAAGGGAAGACCCTCAACGAGATGGATTGACACAGTAGCTGCAAAGATGGGCTCAAGCATAACAAGGATTGTGAGGTTGTTGCAGCACTGGGCAGTGTTTTATTCTGTTTTACTTAGGGTCACTATGAGTTGGAACTGACTTGACCGGACCTAACAATAACATCCTTTGTGTATCCAGTGCTTACAGTACATGACTCACATTTTATATGATACCTTGAAGCATAATCTGACCATTTGAAATTATAAAGCTTTATATGCTTGCTTCTTTGAAATATAGGTATTCATAATAAGAAATACAATATGATACCAAGGCCTTATGGAGAAAGCAACTACTGTAGTTTGCCTTCCCCTTTTTTTTTCTCTCTCATCTGTTGTTGTGTTCTCAGTTAGAAAAGCTATATTTATATGATGAAATACAAAATGCTCAAGAAGCATATTTTTCAAAAATCATTTTTACACCATTATCAGAAAATAGCCAATATGTACTTCAGGGATCAAACTATGCATACTGTTTTATGATCTGACTTTATATAAAATATGAAGAATACTTCTTTATTTAATTAAATGTTCTTCTAAAGCATAAGTTTTAATAACTATGTGGTATTCCATCCTATTGCTGGGAAGTAGTATAGGTTGGCAGGAAAATAGGGTTTAAAGCAGACATCTGCCTTTTATTAGCAGTGACCATGCAAGTTATTTATGGATTCTATTCTTCAGTCTCCTCATGCATATAGTGGGGATGACAGCCAGAAAGTTGATGTGAAGATTAAATGTATCACACATATATGTAAAACACTTGGAGCACTTAGAATAAAGTATGGCTCATGGTAAGTACATTCAGCATTTGATGTTACAATACTGTGGTGCATATCTTTGTGGGGGAAAAAAAAGAGTGCTTGCATTTCTCTTACTATTTCCCTAAGATACATTTTTAGAAATAGGATTACCTCTTTGATAGCTACTGTACCAATAGAGTTTGTAGCAATTTATATTCTCCATAGCAATGTAGGATAGAAAGCAGCTTTTCTACCTGAGTGATGTTGCTGGGGATGAACTTTGGCAGAAAATGACAATTGTGCCCATCTGAGGATTTTTTAAAGTTCTCCAGATCATTGAATATTGAACAATTAGGGTTTATTCAATTTGCTGTTCCTTTTCAATATTTATGTAGTCTTCAGGGAAAGTTATAAAACATAAAAACATATATTCAGATTAGCTATGTTTGGTATATTAGTGTGATTTTTTTTTTTTTTTTGAGAATATATATGTCTTGGTATGAGAATTTGGATTTGACTACATTGTTGAGCAATTTCCTCCTATGCATACCTATTAAAACTATTATTTTCTGTTTTCAAGAAAAAAACAGCAAGCCTTGGGAGCAGCCAGCCCTCCAGAACACATGCTAGTGGAACAGCCTCTGCCAGCAAGGTCAGTCCTTTTCACAGGAAAAGATTCTTACCGTACAGGTGTACATCAGTGGGTACTGGGGAAGGAGAACAGTATCGTTTGATAAATGATGGTTTTTTAAAATCATGTTTTGATTGACTTAAATATCTACCATTTGTGGTTAGATGCAAAGGGTTAACACACTCAGCTGCTGATTGAAAGGTTAGATGTTCAAGTCCACTCAGAGGCACCTTGGAAGAAAGGCCTGGTGATCTAATTCTAAGAAATCAGCTATTGAAAACCCTATGGATAACAGTTCTACTCTGACACGCGTGGGCTTGCCATGAGTCAGTTGACTCCATTGGCAATAATAAGTGTTTAATGAATGCTAGTTATTATCATAAATATCTATAGATAATATAAGGCTTTTGTACAATTTAAGAGTAGAAATATAGTCATCTCATTTCTTTAGAAAAGCACTCAAATCCTCTTCATGAGCATTAACTATACCAGGTTCTCTGCTAAGTGCTGTAATTAATTATAATTAATTAATTATAATTATAATTAATTAATTATAATCCTGCTGCAACCTTTTGGAGAATACATTCCTTTATACATGAGCAAACCAGGGATTAGAGAGGTTAAATAACCTTGACAAGATCAAGGTTAGTAAGCTGGTAAGATGGAGGTAGGATTCGAACCCAGGCTTATTTAGACAAGATCCTTAGTAATGCTGGGTCTCAAAAGCTCTAACAGAGTCTTAGTCAGTAATAGAACACTTCAGAAATTTGTACCTTATAAAAATAACTGAAACATCATCTTTGAAGACAAGTAACTACAATGTTAGCTAGTAGTTTATAATATACAAAATAGATTCAGCCCGTTTCAACCTTACAGTCCTCCAGTATGTCCAACATTATCTAAAAACTTAATTGGTTTCAGTTCTGTCTATACAGCTATTTAAAATTAGCATTTTTCCATTAAAATTGGTGGTTGTCGTATGGCGGTCTATGGACCTTGTACTTGTCACTTGCTTGGCGAAGAGGTAATATTTTGGTGCCTCCTGGTTCCTTGACTGCTCTTCAAGTCCCCAAAGGTGCCAAAACGAGGAATCAGTTGTGATCTTAAGGGAGGCTGGGCCTTCTAAAGACAAGCTGGGCACAAACTTTGATACCATCCCACTGTAAGACCCATGAGTGTGTTTTATTAGAACTTTTCAAATCTTCTATTAGACAGTAAAAAGGATTATCACTGAAAAACTATGAACCTTAAATACGAAAAGTGAATTAATACTGGAATTAATGTAAATTCAAAACTGGGTCTGCCCACTTTTAGCCATTCTCTTGCTATTGTTGGAGACACTAGATGCTCACTATGGTTAAGAGACCATTTGCTAAACCAAACAAATTTGAGTTTGAGTTTCCTCTTTGCAAGTTATTGCTAACAAGTTTATATAGCACCATTGAGCAACAGTTCTGTTGTCAGTAAAATGGGAATAAGACTTTTCTTGTCAGAGCCAATGAGAGGTTTAAATGAAATGAAGCATATAACACTTAGACCAGGGCATAGCAATTACTAGGTGCTGGGAAAATGCTTTGCTGCTGTGGTTACTTTAATTAGTCTCATACTCAGGGAAGTCTCTGACTGAAAGAAGATGTTCCAAAAGATGTCCTATCTTTTATGTTCGACTCACAGAGACCCCTCCTTGGGTTTCCGAGGCACTATCACTACGGGAGAAGATTGCCCCATCTTCCGAGGAGTGGCTGGTGATCTTTCATAGTATTAAATTAAAAAAACTCACTGCCATTGGGTCGATTCCAACTTATAACAACACCCACTGGGATTCTAAGACCATAAATCTTTATGGAAGTAGATTACCTTATCTTCCTTCTGTGGAGGAGCTGGTGGGTTTGAACCACCAACCTTCTGGTTAACAGTCAAATGCCTTAGGCACTGCGCTACCGGAGCTCCTTTTATAGTATTAGAATTGTTATTTAACTTATACTTTAAACTGAGGAGGCTCATTAGCAAAATTCCAACCCAATGAGATTTAATGAATCTTTTGTAAATAGTTCGGGAGGTTCTGTACATTTTGAAAACCACACCCTGTTTTTCTTGCACTTAGTTGTAAGAATCAAACTCTATTCTATCCTTTTTCATACCGGAAGTTATCATTCAATTGTTCAACATGAAACGGTTATAGAGAATTTGGACACATCCCCCAAACCCTGTTCTGTCTCAAGAAAGTGGAGGGGGGAACTCAGCATGGCAGTGTAAATGCTTAGCCACATTTTTACTATTTTATTAACACTTTGTTCTTTATACTATATTTAAACAAATTATAATTTTTATAATTATACTTTATTTAAATAATTTGTTATTGGATGGAACATGTGAACGTCTTTCCTTGGCTTCTACAACACTTCCATCTCCCACATTCACTCTTACTTTTTTTTTTTTTTGTCTTTTTATTGTGATTTGGGTGAAAGTTTACAGAGAAAATTGGTTGTCCATTCAACAATTGATACACATTTTGTTTTGTGACACTGATTGCAGTTGCCACAATGTAACAGAACTCTTTTCACTTTCTTTTTGTGTTTACAGTTTTGGTTCCTCCTTCTTTCCTATCTCTTTCTGCCTTCTGAGCTTTATTCCTTGGCAAATGCTGCCCTTTTGATCTTGTATATGAGGAGTGTGTATCTCGCTGTGTTATTGTTCACCTTACAGGCCTGCCTATTATTTGGCTGAAAGTCAGGCCACCAGGGGTAAGTTCAGTTCCAAACTTGAAGGATGACTAAGAGCCATAGTCTCAGGGGTTCTACCAATGCCTATCAGTAAGCCTGGCCTTTTTTTTTTTTTTTAAATGATTTTGAGTTTTCCACAGTTCTCTCTCATTTGTTTAGGACCTTCTAACATGATCCTTTTCAGAGAGGTCAGTAGTCGTAACTGGGCGCCATCTAGCTTTTCTGGTTGTCAGGGTTGAGGAGGCTGGGGTTCTAGTCATCCATTAGTCCTTTGGACTGACTAGTTGTTTCTGTGCCTGTTTGATATTCTTCACTCTTCTTTACTGTGGTCAGGGAGAGACCAATAGTTGCACCCTATATGGCCACTCAAAAACTTATTAGACCCTAGTCACTTGACTACTCACCAAAGTAGGATGTAGAACATTGTCTTTATGGACTATGTTACACCAATTGCCCTTGATGTTCCTTGAGTCTATGCTTCTGAGATCCTAGGCCCAGCGATTCATTCCTTCAAAATATTTGTTTATGACTAAGAAGTTTTCAAAACTTCGTCCCCTGTATATAAGGTTGACATTTCAAACCCATCAGCCTCTCTGCAGAAGGAAGATGGGGCAATCTACTTCCATAAAGGTTTACTGCCTCAGAAACCCAATGGGGGTCATTATGAGTTGGAATCGACTTGATGACAGTGAGTTGGAGTTTTTTTTAAAAAATGCATTTTATTGAAATACAATTTATGTACAGTGAAATACACAAAACTAAAGTGACATGGGTCAATGCATTTCTTTTTTTGTGTTCCCACCCCTGGCAACCAACAAAGAAAGTTTCCCTCCATATATAAACCTTTCCCTTACCCTCCACGACAACAAACTAACACTATATTTTTCCTTCTGTGATTGACTTATTTCACTCAGCATAATGTCCTCCAAGTTCATCCATATTATGCAGTGTTTTGCAGACTCTACATTATTCTTTATTGCTGCATAGTATTCCATTATGTGTATGTACCATAGTTTGGTCATCCACTCTTCCGCTGATGGGCATGTAGGTTATTTATATCTTTTTGCTATTGTAAATAACGCTGCAATGAACATGAGTGTGCATATATCTGTTCCTGTCCTGGCTCTCACCTCTCTAGGATATATACCTAGTAATGGGATTGATGGGTCAAATGGTATCTCCAATTCCAGCTTTCTAAGGAATTGCCATATTGCTTTCCACAGTGGTTGTATCACTTTACAGTCCCTGCAGCAGTATATGAGAGTCCAAATCTCTCCCCATCCCTGCCAGAATTTGTTATCTTCTGTCTCGTTGAACCTTGCCATCAGTGCTGGGATGAGACGGTATCTCATTATTGTTTTTATTTGTATCTCTCTGATGGCCAATGATTGTGAGCATCTCTTCATGTATTAGCTAGCCACCTGAATATCCTCCTTGGTGAAGTGTCTATTCATGTCTTCTGTCCATTTTTCAACTGGATTGTTAATTCCTTTGCTATTGAGGTGTTGGAGTTTTCTGTAAATCTTAGAGATAAGTCCTTTGTCAGCTATGTAATTATCGGCAAATATGAATTTGTTGCTGTCATTTTAGTTATGTGCTTTTTTGTGGTGTTGATTTCTTTGTTGCATATCATTTTCTATGCTGAGCTCGTATTGTTTATGAATCATGCTATCACTTACTTGGTTGCTATTGTTACAGTATCGGCTAAATATGTGTGCCAGTCCTCTTTTTTATTTTGATGTGAAGGTTTATCATTTCTCTTTGAGGTTACCCTGTGATTTATAGTTTTCTTCCCAAGTTTAGAACAGTCTGTTCTATCTTGTAGTTGTCTTGACTTCCCTACCATCTAGAAGTTCTGTAATGACACAGTTTTTTCCCCGCTTTTTTGGTTTGTAGTTGTCTCATTTGTCAACTGATGTCTCTGGTTCACTGTTTACAATCTTGTAAGCTTCTTTACTTTGCATACTTCCATAGCTGGGTTGATTTCTGGGTTATATCATCAATTGTGTTAATAGTCATTGTTATTTGCTGTTGTTGCTTCTCTGTCCCAAGGGCTCCCTTTAACATCTCTTGTAAGGTTGATCTGGTTTTAACAAATTCCCTTAATTTCTGCTTACCTGGAAATGTCCTAATTTCACCATCGTATTTGTGGGACAATTTTGCTGGATACAGAATTCTTGGTTGGAAATTTTTCTCTTTCAGTGTTTTATATATACCATCCCATTGTCTTCTTGCCTGCATGGTTCCTGCCGAGAAATCCGAGCTTAGTCTTAATGGTTGCCCATTGTAGGTAACTTT